CATCGTTGATCTTCAGCGGCTGCTCAGGGATAAGTTGGATGACCCTGCCTCTCGACACATCCACCTTGGTCCTTGAGAAGGTGAGAGGCCCCAGACTGTGCGCAGAAGGAAGTCCCCTCCCCCACCAGCTGTGAAGTCGGTTGTATACCAGCCAGCGCGCCAACGACCAAGACCTAGGAGTCCTTCTCGTGCCAGTAGCCATTCCTCTCCTTTACAGCACCTCTTCTCCCCTGACAGAAAGACCAGAAGATTTTAAATAGGTTATAACAGTAGGTAATAGATCAGTAATGTAAAAGTTTTCTTAACTGTAAATTAAAGTAAATTATACCTTATTTTTTCTGTACATTATTTTTGGCAATAAATATATATTACAATAGATTATTGAAAAATGGCATTATTGTATATTCATTTATCAGTTTTGAAATGGGTTTGATCCATCAGTTGTTGTTCACTTAATTATTGAAAGTATTAAATTTTATTATAAGCATGAAATATTTTACAGGAATGCAGAGTAATTTGTACATCAGTAAATTTTAATTACAATTGAAATGTTAATTAAATCACTCTGTTTGTGTATCCCTGTTTCTTCTTGATATGAGTCTCTTGTGATCTGTTGTTTCTGCAAGAATCATATTGTTGATTGTTGACATTTTGCTTGTTAATTTGTTGACATAAATATATTAAATTTTATGTGTATGATACGTAAATTTGAAACTGTATGTTATTGATTTGTGAGTACACATGGTGTATGTTGACATGAGAATTTGTGATGGTTCTTGATGTATTTACATTAAGAAAAATAATCTTGATTTTATACACACCAGTTGTACGATTGATAAGCTGAATACCTCATGTGATTTTCTATTGTACATAGATCTGCAGTTGATTCCTCTTCTGTTATTACAGTGACTTGTAATTCCCACGGTATTTGTTGTTTTAATAATGTTGTTTTATTGTATATGATAGTCCAAAGGGACTTGGACATTTTTTTAGGAGGGGCAAAATGTAAGAATAGGGCTACGATCTAATTTTGTTGATACTTATACTAGAATGTACTCGTACATAATTTTCGCTTTTGACATCGCCCCCGAAAGTTTGATTGGCGCTGTTTGTTTATGCATGCGTGTTTTGTTGTTACAAGTATAAAAAATGTGTTAAATAATTTGTGTACTGATCACTATCATTTATGTATAATTACCTGTAATCCACTATTTATACGTATTTTTGCTTTATTGTTAGGACCACATGTTGTTGATTCTTTTAGTAATGGCCGACTCCCAGAATGCAATGCGGTATTTGTTTACGAAGTTTAACGAGCGCTATTTTTCGATTATAATTTATTGTTAATTTATTGTTAATTCTTGTATAGACATTTAATGATACTAGAAGTAATTAGAGTTAAGAAATAAATGTTATTTCTATTTTTATTTTCTCGTAAGTGTGAGAATTTGATGTTGGAACTAGAGCATCCCGTTACGTTTTTCATTGGTTGATGTAAATTACGCGACGCTTTTCATTGGTCGTGTTTCATGATGTCATTTTACTATGTATATAACGACGAGTTGTAGCAGACAACTAGGATTTTTGACTGTTTTTGAGTTCTAGAAAGGTGTGTTATTTGAGTTTATTAATTTTATTACATTTATTTCGGGATTAAGACTTTAGAATATTGGGATGGAGTTGGTCTTGGTTTGTTATAAATAAGTAGGTTTATTTACAGCTATTTGCTGAGCTGTTTACCGTGATCTAACGGTCTGAAATTACTACAGCTAATTTACGGATATTTTATCCGTTGTAATTTCAATTACTGGTTCAATTTACCAGTCCCAATATAAGAACAAGTACATAATACGTAGGTTTCAAGTATTTATTTGAATTTATTATTTTATTTGGAATTATTGTTTAATAGAAATAAAATATGTGTTCACTTCAGAATAAACCGTTTATTTGTTAACTTTACAAGACTTGTCTTTATTTCATTTTCGTCCTGAATTTGGAAGTAAAGAGAGAAAAAAATTAATTTCAACTTAATTGTCATGCACCAGAGCGCTTATCCGGTGTCGTTACAATACAATGATTATTATTGATAACTTTAGTCGAATTCAACATTATTTAATCATACTAGTATTATATAATGAGTAAAAAAGGACAAGGGCGATAACTTTCGCAATAAAAAAATATAGTAAATAAGCTTTCCGCTTCAACAATAGCAGTGAATGTATTTTCTTATGTTTACAAAATATTGTATATGCAAGCGTATTTCTTTCCTATCTATTTTTATGCACCTAAACGGTGTTTATTTTCATGCTAAACGCGATTGTCATTTGACTGAGAAAATTACGATTACAATCTCAAAATATGGAACAGATCTTTCCACAAGCTCCAATTTCGATCAAGTATCGTACCAATCGCATTATCTCGGGTCTTTCCGTCAGAGGTCGGAAAAACAACCTCGAATGTATTAACATCACCGGATATTAAAAAGTTATACATCTCCTGTTTACTTAAATATAGGATAGACGGAGTTACAAGTCCCTCCTGCAGTTTATTTTATGTAATATCATTACATTGAATAAAGTTAGACTCCATGTTCCACAGATTAGGGGTCTCCATGCATTCATTTTAAAGATTGTGAAAAGTGGGGGTTGTCGTGGCTTCTTCCTAATACGTTCGAGGTCGTGTTTCCGCTTGTCGGAAAGGCCCGAGAAGTTGCGTTTGGTATCGTACACATCGCCGATGTTTTCATTTTTGACACTTTAAGACACCGTAATCAGTCATTATATTATGTATATTTTCACAACAGTTGATAAATTCAGTTAACGATCTCTAAATAAGGAGGTAAGAAGAGTCTTGAACGTTAATGGTGCATACGCCACCTATATTCAGGGGCGGGTAATTTGAAGTTTTATTTACCATTATTGTAACGTGCCTCATAGGTACCAGGTTGACGTAAAATTACACGTTACAATTGGCGACAGCGAATTTATAAGCTCACCTGAGCCGAAGGCGGTTGTCTGTCGTTGTCGTCGTAAACTTTTCACACTTTCATCTTCTCCTAAAGAACCACTGGACCAATTTCAACCAAACTTGCCACAACTTATCCTTAGGTGAAGGGGATTCGTGTTTGTTCAAATGAAGGGCCGAGCCCTTTTCCAAGGGGAGAAAATTATGAAATAGTGAAAAATGAATGACATTTTTTAATCTTTTTCTCAAGAACCACTGGGCCAGGATAGATGAAAGATGAAACTCAAGTGGAATCATCATCAGGTAGTGTAGATTCAAATTTGTTCAAATCATGACCCCCAAGTGTAGGATGGAGCCACAATGGCTGATTAAGTTTTTTACATAAAAATTCATAGGAAAAATGTTTTAAAATCTTCTTTTTAATCATCTTCAGGTAGTGTAGATTCAAAGAAGAAGGTATGGTTTCCATACAAATTCTGCCCTGTGATTTTCTAAAAACTGGAACTGGTGTAAAAGTTATAAAACTCGTGCTTTTTAAATACATGTAATTGAAATTCAATGCAGAAAAATCATACAAGTCATTTTTCTCACATGTGTTTTTAAATGCTAATTATGACGTCATAAACATGTGCATTTTCCTGTATTTTCTTAAGATGTTGCAGAAGACACTAATTTTCAATGGAATTTTGTTTCAGATAAGATTGTCCACAGGCATCGCCCACAAAAATCTTGAGATATGTGATTTGCTATTGGATTTTGCACAAAATATCAAAAAATTAACGTGAGCGACGGCTGTGGACACTGTTTTGTAAAGGAAAATCACCCTTGAAATGTGCCATTTTGAGGTTTTTTTTCTGTTGAAAATAGAGAAATGCTTCACATTAATGACGTCATATTTGCAGAATGGTAAACCTTTATGCCATATTCTTTCCTGATTTATCAGAGTCATTTATTTAACTAATATTTAAGCCAGTTTCAAAACTTTTTGATGTTATTACATTTTTAGGGCGCAATAAAGCTAAAATCATACCTTCTTCTTTGTTCAAATCATGACCCCTGGGGGTAGGGTGGGGGCAAAATGGCTGATCAAAGTTTTAAATAGGACTAAATGGGGAAATCTTTTTAAGTACTTCAAAGCCATGATTAGTGATAATTATATGAAATCATCTTCAGGTAGTATTGATTCTAGTGTGTTCAAATCATAACCCCCAGGGATAGGGTGGGGCCACAATGGGGGAACCAAGTTTTACATTAAAATATTTTTTTAAAATCTTCTAAAGAATAGCAAAGCCATGATTAATGATACTAGTATCTATATGGAAGCTTTCTCAGATAGCGTAGAATTAAATCTGTTCAAATCATAACCCCACGGGTAGGGTGGGTCACAATGTTGGATCAAAGTTTTACATCTAGAAAAATAAAGGGAAAAAAAACAGAACAGAAAAGTCATGTTTAGTCATATAGACATGTAAGCATCCTCATGTAATTGAAGATTTAAAATTGCTAAAATCATGGCCCTTTGGGGTAGGAAGGGAAATAATGGGGAATCAAATTCAAATTATTACGAAGTAATAAATAGGAAGAAAATGTTTTTTAAAAAAATGTTTTTAAAAAATCTTTTTATAAAGAACAGCAGTCATATGCTATATTAATATGAAGGCATTCTCAAGTAGTATTAAAATTCACACCCCCCCCCCTTCAGTAAACTTTTCAGTTCTGATCTGATTTGTGCTTTTTCCTACCCGATGTGCTCCGATGAGCGATGTGGCCCCTGAGCCTCTTGTTTATTCTTGATATTAAAAAGATTTACCATAATGTTTGATTTCAAAATCAATATAAATAAATCAAATAAATAATCAAGAAGTGAGAGAATTTATATTGATGAATAATGGAACTAGGAGACAGTGCATTATGTAAGCAATTTTGTTATTAACACATGTATTCACCAATTCAAGTTCAGTACCGTTTTTTTATCCTTGGAGGGAGAATAAAAAAAACACTCAAAGTGTGAAAGTCACGTAGAAACAATGAAAGTTTTAGTCTAATCCATTAAGCCTGATAACGGAAAAATATGTCTCTGGGTACAAAGTACCAGCTATGTATACTTGCATCCAGACTCTGTCCCCCATCTGTAACTGATAGATTACTAGATTGGAACCTGACTGGTAAACATTAGATTGGGGTAAAATAGCCCAGGCCATGACCCCTGCTTTTTCTGAACCATTAATCATTATTTTTGTCCAGAAGATTTTATTATTAACTGCCACATTAGTAGAGAATATGAGGTAGAGTCCAGCCTTAGGAGCAGTAAACACTCCTGTTGTAGGGTTGTATCCTCCTCCTACCTGGAATATGATTTTTGGGAATTTAACTGTTTCTCCATCTGTATACATACTACCATATGTTCCTGCTGTAAAAGCTACGTTGGATATTAAGCCTGAAAAATACACAGGACTGTAATACATACGTGCAACTTGTTAATTTAATTTCTTTTCGCAAATTAGCACAAGCAAATTGAATTTTTCAACTGTTATTTTGATGTTATAAGTGAGATAATAAGTGTTGTCTTTGATCTGATATTTTGATTTTTAAAGGATGATATTAATTACAGAATTGTATATGATGAGTAAAAGTAATGAATATTTTAAGAACTGTATATTAAATCTAAAATATAGATAAGGATTTCGGAATTTGCAGATTCGGAATATGCCGCAGGAATTTTTATACATGTATATAAAATCTAAATTGTACATTATAGAATGCCAAAAATACAGAGAAATATTTTGTGTAGTGCTGAGTATATAATTCATAAGTAATTTGTTTTCAATTATGGTTCAGAAAAGAAATATTTTATTAAAACAGGGTGAAGTATAGTTTTCCCGCGTTTTGTAGAATAGCGGGAAAACATTGTATGATAGGAACGTATTTTATTGGAAATGCCTGTGTATGGTAGACGTAAGAAGGCCAATGAGAAGGGGGTATTTCGTGAGGTGTTGGGTCATTCAAAGCCAATGCTCCGCAGAACACACACGTATTTTTCTTTTTATCTTAACGTTTAAATATATAATATTTACAAGATTATTGTCATATATTTTGATTTTGCTTTATTGTACATGTTCATATATGGTGTTTATGCATATCAAGTACTGCACCGATTGCACGTCCGGTATTCTCCTTTGAGACATTATTTACATAGCAACGGACACAGGTTTTCCATAGTTTCTCGTCTATGTTTTTTCCTTGGCGATTTTTAATGTCTTTGATAGGGATGTAATGCATAGCATGTAACGTAGAGTTGACAAAAACATTGCAGTACTTCATTGATCGCATACACATTAATGTATGCCTGCTTGTTATGTATTGCTATTAAATAAATGCCAGCTGCTCCCACTAAGCTAGCCTGGCTTACAGCTTATGTGTTGTATTATTTGAGGTGTAGTCTTTCATATAATGGGTGAAGATTATACGAAAGTAGAAAGAAAAAGTACATTAAAATTTCATGTAAATTTGAAACAGTAGAGATGTTTATTTAAGAAATAAAGTCCGCGTTTTCGTGAATGTTGTAGAATAACCTCCGAGGTCGAGAAATGTTGTTTGAAAGATAAAAGTCGAGGCGTTAGAGAAACGAATTAGGTCACCATGTCTCGATAACGCTGTTCCATTTAACACCAGAGCGAAATTTTGTTTACTTACCTGTGTATGGAAATCAGACGATTTAAGCTTTCGTTGCATTAAAAATAGCTTTCTGAATTACAAATTTGTTCGCAATATGTATTGATTAATTTTAGTGAATAGATGCAGTAACAAAATCATGTTCCGGTTTTACTAAAATCACGTTGTTTAAATGTGTAGGGATGTCCGTGGAATAGCCCGCTTAGCTATAAAAACCGACCTTCATCAGCAACTTGATGCAATTTACAGTGTTTATACTGCAAAAGACGACACATCTGTGCGGTCTAAACAAGTATTTCATTCTACAGCCAAACATGCAATTGAATTGTTCAAGTTTGATACGTGTTTCTGATCTGATAATTTTTGATGACGTTCGTGATTTATTGGAGAATAATGTCCGGCGGTTTCCTTTGATGTTTACAATAATCGTGGTAGAATTAAAAATAATACATGTATTTCATTACAAAACGACCTCGTGTATTTATAACAATATGAAAAGAAAACAATATACGTACTATTTTTAAGATGGATGATTGTATCATTCAGATTGGCTATGTTATTTTTCTGGGAATTAGACATTGCTTCAATCTCACTCTTCATCTTTTGTTGCTGCGCATCCAAACTTAAAACAGAAGATGGTAGCCACGCTGTGTTATTGTGTACATCTAGAAGAGAAAGTGATAAGTGTTGAATGGTCATATTCTGTTGCTCTTCTTGTATTTTTTGCTGTTGTTTAAACTTGGAAAGTGTGACATTGAGCATAGTCATATTATTGTGAACATCAAATAGTGACAGTGATAAATATCGGTCTCGTTGTTCCAAGTCTTTGACTGTGGTAGACATGTTCTTCATCATTTTCTGTTCGCTGTCCCTGACTGTCTGCTCTATTTCAAAGGATAGAGTGTTCTCCAGCCGTTGTAGGTCTTCCTTTGTTGTCAAGTTTTGTTGTGTTAAAATCGATGAAGAATTCAGATTGTCAAGTCTTTTTTTCAAGATTTTGTTTTCACTTTGCACATCTAGAAGTGAGTTCTCAAGGACTGTTATCTTCACTTGGGCTCTCTGAATCTCTCCTTCTAATAACTTTTGCTGTTGTTCAAATTGCTGATTTTTGGTAGCTTGTTGTTTCTGATCCATCATTATAGAATCGAAAACTTTTTCCATATGAAGAAGTTGTTTATACACATCAGGATCAGAATGTCCCTGAGATGCCGAGGTAGCATTGATCTGTCCGTGAACCAACAAACTCTCTGCTTTCAAAAATATGCACAGAAGTACAATGAAGGTGCTTGTTATCCAGTACATTTTGATGTTGTGTGATAAACCTCAATGCAGACAAGTTCATTTGGATTTGTGTCTTTATTATAAATAAATTGTTGTTATCATCTGACAAACACTAAATCACATACAAACTGTAATCTTTAATCTATATAAATACACTGGTAATCATTTAGTGGTATGTACTGCATGAACACCTTATCTTTATGAGAAAAAAACAGAATTCATATATTATTTTAATGTAAATCTAAAAATAGATAAGATCATTTTATTTTCTTGGATGCAAACGTGAATTCTCTCTAGCTTATTCCCATAAGGTTTTAAGCTCACCTGAACAAAATGCCTAAGTGAGCTTTTCTGACCACCTGTTCCGTCGTCTGTCTATCTGTCTGAGTGTTTAAATTTACGATAATGTTTAAAATTTTATATTTTAAATTCTTACAAGGAACCACTGGGCCGAGTTTAACCAAACTCGTTATTGAATATTCCACTCATTTTTTAAGGAGAAAAATGAAGTAATCTTGAAATTTTTGTGGAGTCATTGAAAAATCGTTTTAGGAACCAATTTACCGGAACAGTTGAAACATATGTTTCTTTAAATCATATCCCCTGAAGTTTTCTAAATCTACATTCGAATTATATAGGGGAAAAAATCTTGATAGCACTAAAATGACCAACGACAGTAACAAAAAAATGTCAAATTTTCGGGACGTTCGGTCCCTTCCTCAGGACAAAGTAAAATAGTTAAAAAGTCATAAGAAGAAAGGAAAAAGAGGGAAAAAAGACAACTAACACTGCTACTAAACTGCCAAATACTATATATTTACAATGTTACATGTTGAATTCTCAAGTTTATCATCAATAGTAAGAAAGAAATCCGGACTGCTATGAAATACGTCAGGTGTAACGTTGAATTTTGACCCGGTTTGAAAATTGACCCGGGGTCATTTTTTTCAACGTTAGATATTGAGACCTAAGCTGCTGAATTTAGACGCTAGTTCGTTGAAAAATGAATCGGGTCGTGGAATTTTGATCATGAAACCGGTTCTAAATTCAACAGCATAAAAACACATTTATGACATGGTTTTCACAACTGTGATTTAATTCATAGGCGTCTGGAACGGGGAAGGGGGTGTTAGGGATGCTTACACCCCCGTTTTTCCAGAGATAGACATGATATAGGTATTGAACAATGTGAAATTGGTTTAGCCCCCCCCCCCTTCCCGCTAACAACAGGCACGTGACAGTGTAGTCAAATAAAGAAAAGTAACTGGTAGTGCTTTAAAAAATAAAAATTGGATCCTACCCCCATCCCCCCACCACCAATAGGATTTTTGGGTTTGGACAATGGCCAAAGTTTCTTTTTCTTGTCAATTTTTTCAGATTTGAATATTTTTCTTTTTCAATAAGCCCCTCACCCCCGCACTTTCAATTTGCTTCCTACACCAATGTAATCAATGCAAACTTAATTCAGTCATATTCTAAAAATAAAATATTTTTTAAAATATCTTAGATTTCAAAGTTACATGCTTTAGCTTAAGTTTAGCTTAAATCGCAGTATTTCATGTAATATTTATTTAAAAAGAAGTACATTTGTATATAGTTAAACAATATACAATTTAGTTCAGAAATTTGTTTATTTATATATAGATATTTTTTTTTTTGCTAACAACACTTCATTTATTTTAATTTTAAAATTCGTGATATTAGTATTTGGAAAATGGTGAGAGTTACATGTAAACGCATGATGCACGTTCGTTTTAATGCTTATTTAATTATGCACAACATGAATGACTTTAAATGTCCAACTTGAAAACCGGATTTTTTTAAAATAAAAGGTTTAGTAAAACAGTTCAAGAACGAACCTCACAAATTATACATTGTTTTTTTAGTTAGAGGATGTAAAAAGAGGGGGTGTACCATATATAGTATAGAATAGGCATCATAACCGGGCGAAGGGCAAGGGGAGAGAGCCCTCCCCCTCCCCACTAGGCATCGAAAATGCGGCTTACTCTTTTTGGGTTTATTACTCCCCTTCCCTGTTTTATTTGTTGCCGACGTCTTTCTATTGAAAGAGAAAGCGTTATTCTTAAGAGAGAGAGATATCTTCTACCCATCTTCTCCTTTTCTCGACGAGAGTAAATCAATTCATTAGTTTATGAAAGATAAATAAACTGAAATAGAATCTTTCCATTACTAAAATCTAAAATCAGAATTTTTGTTTTTACATTTATTTTTCATAGTGGGTTAAATGTATCCATGGTAAAATATATTGATGTAAACTCTTAACGCACTTTGAAAAAAAAATTCAAAGTGCGTTGAGTATGACCAAATTTTAACGCAAAAAATTTTCAAAGTGCGTTGATTTTGTCCCAATTTTAACGCACTTTGAAATTTATTTTCAAAGTGCGTAATTTTTTCAAAGTGCGTTGCCACATACCTTGTAAATTCTCTTCAAGGTAGCAGGAACTTACCCATGAGATTCTGTAATAGTTGACGGACTCCGAGTCAGCAACCCTGAGATTTTCTCAAATATGTCTCAGAAAATTTGCCCTTTTCATACCAACCGGTACAAAACAGTTCTCAAAACTGATTTTTTTTAAAACTACATTTATTTGTTTTTAATAAAAAAAATACCAGAAGGAGAGGAAAAATGCTTGTATCAAAACCCGTCGCTGCTATTACATATTCATTAACTCATCATTAACTCATAAATTACAGTGATGTATGCAGACTCTAGGCTGACCCTCTCTTCTCTAATCAATTTAGGATAACAATAAAATGATCATTTTAATGTATAATTTATGTATTTCGTAATACCAGTGGATGTATTTTTGCTTGCACAAAAGATTCTAACACCGCTTAAAACTTTGATTTTTAACAATCACTCGTAAAGTCTCAAACATGGATTTAATTTATCATTACGCAATTTTGTAGTTTACAAACAAAGCAATAATAAAGAAATAATTTATTTTTATTTGTTATGCACTTTAATCGTTATTTTCTATCAGTTAAAAAGTAAGCTAATCTTACTTATACTCTCTTAAATTTAGATTCTCAACTAGAAGTAGAAACAGATCTCTGTGAATTTCAGACGAGGAATGTTCTCCTTAATGATAAATTGTAAACACTATCATAGACTTTTTAATCGATAGGTTCTAAATCAGCACATTTTTTAAATGAGGGTCATGTTATCTTTTTTTTTTATTAAATTCATGTTTGCGAAATTCTTCTGTTTCTAGTCACCGAGTAGATCTAAATTTTTTTATTCATAGATTTTTTTTTTAAATCCGACATCTTATTTGCAATATAAATTTCATGTACATTATCACAAATATGGAGTGGACTGCTGGTATCGTGTTGGTTCTTTCTATTACATTTTCTGGTGCATTGCTCCATGGAAACTCCAATGTGTCTGTTCCCTCAAACGAACATACTGATCCAGATGTGTATAAACAACTGCTTCATCTTGAGACAAATTTAGTGTCAGTTTATAGAGAAATGGCGACATTGAAAGAACAAAATCTACAACAAAAGAAGACCTCTGAAGAACAACAACAATTGATACATACGCTCAACCAGACAATTCAGAATTTAAAAAGTGATAATGGTGTCTTGAAAGACAAACTGGATACCTTGAATTCTACATTTTGTCATCAAAATTATTCTTATGTCGATGATACCACAAAAGAACTAAAATTTCAGACACAGACTCTATCACTTGCAATTATGGAATTGAATAAATCTAGTTCTGAGGACATCCAAACATTAAGAAATATCATCACAAGAAGAGAACAGGAAGTGCCGAAAAATGTAACCTCTGTCGTCAATAGCCTTTAAAAAATGATAAATACTTATCACTTTCCCTTTTGGATGTTCAAAAACATCTCAGCGGTAGGAGCGTTACTCCAACAACAACAGAAGACACAATCAGAACAGTATAAATTAATTGGGTTTATCCAATATGGATTAACCTGGTTATTTCGTGCAGCTTAATGTTTTACATGCAAAGATAGATAACTCTTAGTTTCTTAACATCATCGGGCTCGGTGCTTAAAAAAATTCTTGATATTTCTTGTATGCGCATGTCTTCTAGAATATTCCTTTTGAATCTGTAAATTGAAAGAAGCAGATGCAAAGATTTTTTAAAAGAATTAATCGCAGGCGCGGATCCAGAAATTTTTTCCAGGGGGGGGGGGGTCCACCCCAGTCAAAAAAAAACCAATCCCAAAAATTTCTTGACAAGCAAAAAAAAACAAAAACAAAAAAACAAAAACCTAAACTCGCCCAAACGTCAAAAACCTATTTCGTGGGGGGTGGGGGGGGTGGGGGTGGGTGGGGGGGTGGGGGGGGGGTGGATAGTGGTGACTACTATTACCTCAAATCTTTCACTTTTCATACCCATTCCACACATATTCGCGTTTACCAGGGGGGTCAGCGTTTTCCAGGGGGGTCCATGGTAACTTTTTTCTTGTTTTAGTATATACAATTTTTAACCTGGTAAATTCCAGGGGGGTCCTGACCCCCCCGACCCCCCCTCTAGATCCGCGCATGAATCGATCATCATTTGCTGATTTATTGTCAAATACAAGTAAATATGTTACGTGTATCAAAAGATTCGAAGGCCAGGAGACCTTATTCCAGAGAAATCACAAGAAGTTCCGTATCCAGACCTAAAACATAGAGAAGGCCTAATTAAGGCCCTGTCACACCAAGCTGCGTTCACACGGAGTCATTACGGCGTTGTTAAATCTTTTAAATCGCCGTGGAATCGCAGGGAAAATGCACAAATTTCTATAAAATTTTCATAATATGAAGATGTCACGGCGTCCCTACGGCGACGGACGCGATTCTACGGCGATCTCACGGCGTTCTTCTGCGTTCCCACGGAGATCTCTCGGCGATTGACTGCGCTCCCGCAGAGTTTTCACGGCGCGTTAGGAGTTTTCACCTCGTCTTCACGGCGTTCTCACTGCGATGGCTGTGTTCACGATACGTTTACAATGCGTTCTATACTCATTAACTTA